GCCCCGGCTCTGCCGGAGCCCCGGCTGGGGAGCGGCCGACTGCCGACCGCTGTCCGGCCGCCCCGGCTCGTCCGCGCGCGGTCTTCGGGCTTTCCGGCCGAATTCGCTGCCCGCCCCCGATCCGGCGAGTTCGTTTTTCGGGCGAAGATGACACCCGCGACTGTAGTTTTTAGAGATTGACTGCATTATCTACAGCCCGTACTTCACTCCGCTAGAACTAGCCTTATTATTAAAACAGGTACAAAGACAAGGCAGAACTCTCCAGGAGTGGCTGCTAAAATGCCTTGAGGAGTTCTAGGAGCAGTCCCTTAAGAGATCACGTTTTTCTTAGGATTTTTCTGTTTCTAGAAGATGACATCTTTGTCCTCCCCGTTTTTTTGTTTTTCTATATTAGCAGTGTTTTTCCTCCTTCTTTTTTCTGTATCTTCTTCCCCTTTTGTGTAGTTGTTTTTTTCCTTTGCCTCACATTTACCTCTCTGCTTTATGTTATCCCGTTTGAATTGTTTTCCTTACCCTATTCCCTTTCCCTTTGCTTCTCCCTCTGGCTCTTCCTGCAGAACAATAAAATTGCACTTAAATTTCTAGGTGAAGAGATGTCACGAAAATGGTGCAAGGAAAAACAAGAACAATTTCAGGAAACGTTATACTACACCAGTTTCCCCCAGAGATGTTAGTGAAGTTTCGTCATTTGAGGCCAGAAAAGGAACTGTGGAATATCAGTTGAACAGTACATGAGCTATTTGACTGCTTTAAAGATTTTTATCTGTATTAAGATGAAAACGTGTCATGACGAGTTTAAGATTGTTATCTGAATTAATGTGTAAACATTGTTTAAGACTGAAAGTTAAGCTTAAAATCCCTAGCGCTTGTGGTTGTATTTGATACGCAGGCAGTGTTAGCTAGTTGCATTTAGGCTTAAAGTGTTTGGAAAAGGCAGATTTGTTTTTAAGAGAGTTATTGATAATCTTCAATTTTGCATAATGACTTAAGCAATAGAATAAAATACTTGTCAGTATAGCGCATTTTTAGTAGTACTTGGGTCTTATTCTGTATTCCTTTGTCTTCTAATTAGAGAAATGGAAAACTGGTGCTTCTTATTTTAATTTGTTCATCATTTTCCTTTTTATTTATTTTTAAAAATACTTGAGGTTTTCTGAGAATACTTTTAAAATAGTTTAACATAGAAAAATCAAACTTAGTGAAACACCATACTGCTTTCTATGTTTTTATTCTGTGTCTTTGTTGTACAAAATTTGTTTCCCGGTCTTCTTAATAGTATAGGTTAAAGCTTTTCAAAATAACTAAATTACACGTAAAACTACAAGCACATGATTAAATATGTTCATTCACTCAGCAAGTATTTGGGAGGCGGGGGGAATATGTCAAGCACCTACATAGGTGTCCGAGACAGCAGTGAACAAAAATAAAATGTCTTCTTTTGTGGATTTAATAGTCTAGTTGAGGGAGATAGAAATGAACAGACCATTTGAGTTGTGTATTATTTAGAAGGTGATAGTGATAGTGCTGTGGAGATGCACCAAGGAAGGAAGTTAGGATATCAGTATTTTGGGGATTTCTTTTTTTTGTCTTTTTGAGACAGGGTCTCGCTATATAGTTTGGTCTGGCCTTGAATTCACTTTGTAGCCCAGGATGGTCTCGGACTCGCAGTGATCCTCCTACCTCAGCCTCCCGAGTACTGGGATTACAGGCGTAAGCCACCACGCCCGGCTGGGGATTTCAATTAGGAAAAAGTATGCCATGTTACAGAATGCTGGTCTGACCACGTCCTTGTCTAAAAAGCTTTTTAATGGATTCCTTTATTTTACCCACACCAGGGTATTGTTATTGTTGAAGAGGTTACTTAAGCTTCAAAAGGAACTGTATTTCAAAACTATGCTACATTATACAAATGTAATATGGGATTTGATTATTTAGTAAATATAAAAGAAATAAGTTATCTGTAAAGATTAATGCAATAGCCGGGGATATAGCTCAGCAGCATAAGTGCTTGCCTGGCAAGCGTGAGGTGGTGAGTTCAATTCCCGGTACAAAAAAAAAAAAAAAAGATTAATGCAGTGAAATCAAGTAGACTGAATTTCTTTCTTTTTTTGAGGCCGGGTCTCTGCATGCAGTTCAGGCTGGCCTTGCACTCACTTTGTGGCCCATGTGGGTCTCCAACTTGCAACGATACTCCTGCCTCAGCCTCCCGAGTGCTGGGATTACAGGCACAGCTTGAATTTCTTATTGAAGAGTATGAATTAAGGTTGAGATTGAAACTGTTCTAATATATTTAGTCTTTTCTTTGAGGTCATGCCTCACACAAAATAAATTTGGGGGATGGTTTGAGACAGAGTCTCCATGAAGTCCAAGATAGCTTTGAACTCACTATGTAGCCCAGGCTGGCCTCCAGTTTAGCAGTCCTCCTGCCTCAGCCACCCCCAGTACTAGGATTACAGGCATACGCCACCATGCCCTGTTTAAAAAATAATTTTTGTGCAGTACACCAAGGTGGGTGAAGTTGGAGACTGGAAGCAACTGACCAGGCAGCTCTTTGTGAAATACCAAGGGGGGGGGGTGGCTCGATATGCTGACACACCTATAATTCTAGGGAAGTTCTACTGAGTAATATTGCCGGAATTCTCCCATGCACAGTTTCGAGGCGGAGATTTTCACACTTCTGTGAGCCCTTTGAGATAGTCGTTTGTGTTTTTCCTTTTTTTCCTTACTGTTTCTTCCTAGAACACAGTCACGAATCATCAAGTAAAATTATACTTAGATTATATTTTAAGAAACTGTTTTTAGCTAGGCATGGTGACACACGCCTATAATTCCAACACTTAAAGCTGAGACAGGAGGGTTGTCCTGAGCTTGAGGCCAG